AAAAAAAAAAAAAAAAAAAAAAAAAAAAAAAAAAAAAAAAAAAAAAAAAAGCCCAAAATGATATTAAGAAAACAAAAACAGGAGAAGAGAAAGCTCTTCCTTAGCTACAGTTCCAACTAATAAATATAGATATGAAACGGTTAGGAACTCAACATTTGACAAGAATCATCAATGCATACTAAAATTATGGGGTGAAAGTTTATTTAATTTTTTAAGACAGCATCTAGCTCTGTCACACAGGCTGGAGTGCAGTGGTACGATCTCAGCTCACTGCAACCCCTGCCTCCCAGGTTCAAGTGATTTTCCTGCCTCAGCCTACTGAGTAGCTGGGATTACAGGCACGATTTTTGTCTTCTTAGTAGAGATGGGGCTTCACCATGTTGGCCAGTCTGGTCTTGAACTCCTGATCTAAGGTGATCTGCTCACCTCAGCCTCCCAAAGTGCTGAGATTACAGGCATGAGCCACCTCGCCTGGCCCGGGTCAAAGTTTACTGACAGACAAGATTAAATAATGCCCCACAAATTAGTTATCAGTTCCAAAGAGAAAATGGTAACTACTGTGGACAAACCTTTGCAGCCACCACTTTAACCATGTGATCAGAATCAATCACCAACAGCAGGAAAAACTGACATCATGTGTTTACTGATGTGACACACTGACAGGAATATGTGTTAGTCTTATCTAAATCTAAACCTCAGGAAACAGTCACCCCAAACTGAAGGAAACTCTACCAAATAACCAGCAAGTAAGCATTCCTCAAAAATGTCAACGTCATGAAAGGCAGACTATGTAAGACAAAGAACCTCGTTCCTAGGAGATACACACAAGTCTTTGGGAACACAAGGTCATGAACCTGCAACTGACTTTCAAAGGGGTCAATTAAATAATTATATTTTATATGTTATACAATTATATAATTATATATTTCATATAATTATATAATATAAATATATCATTATATATAATCCTGTTAGATATACATTATGAATTATATTAATTATATTGATACAATTAGTACATCTAACAATATAGAATATGCATATTCTATATTATATATATACATATGCAAGAAATGAAGCAAATATAGAAAATATTAACAACTGGAGAATCTAGGTGAAGTGGAAACAATACAATTCTTGCAACATTTCTATAGGCTTAAAATTTTTTCACAATTAAGTTTTTTTTTTAATGTTACGAACACATTTCTGGAAATAACCTAAGTGAACATAGGGTACTATGCCTTACTGAGCATCTGTTCTGCTAACGCATATACCACAATTGCAAACATCACATTTAATCCTCAATTCATGGGGGGATTAGGAGGTGGATAGGGCATATGACATAATACGCACTATCTATATTGTTTATCTATATTACAAAAAGATGCCCTATGTATATTTTTTTAAATAAACTGAAACCTAAGAAATACTTTGCCTTAAAAGCTTATCATCTGGACCAGGAGCAGCGGCTCACAGCTATAATCCCAGCACGTTGGGGGACCAAGGGGGGCGGATTGCCTGAGCTCAGGAGTTCGAGGCGAGCCTGGGAAACACAGTGAAACCCCGTCTCTACTAAAATACAAAAAAAATTAGCCAGGCATGGTGGCATGCACCTGTAGACCCACCTACTCGGAAGGCTGAGGCAGGAGAATTGCTTTACCCTGCTGTGGGCAGGCAGAGGCTGCAGTGGGCCAAGATCGGGCCACTGCACTCCAGCCTAGACGACCGAGCAAGACTCTGTCTCAAAAAA